CCAGCTCATAGTTAACAGACTGTTGGGGGAACCATACTTAAAAGTGCTTCATAAACTATTCTACCTTTAAGGGGACAACCATGGGGAGCAAAGATGTGCATGTGTGTGTGATTGTTGGCAGCCTGTCAGCTTGTCCATTGGGCTTTCTATCACTCCCAATTTGTTGTGCATCTCATTGCAGCAATATGCACACGCTTTGTTCTTTCAAACTAACCAAGCCACCGTCAAACCAGAATCTCATCTGGCCTGCAGAACTACTGGTGTCATTATCAGATACAGAACAGGCTCAAAATAATATGGAGTATAATATTTATAAAAGCAATTGAAAATGGTTGTAGTCAAATTACAAAATATAACCCGTCACCAGACCCGAGTTGTTTTTATAATAGTGGAATATGTTCATGTTTTTAATTTTAGTCCTGTCATTAGTACTGTACTGTACAGGAGAACATGTTGGCTGTGAACTAGATGTGAACTGCTTGCATTGACCTGTACAAAATTGTGCCAAAAATTATACCCAACTTTTTCTTTTGCACCATGTTGTTGCCCTCTGGTGGTTAAACTGTGTAATGGCATCATAAAAAACTGCTTCATTTATTGCTCAACTTACAATCAGTGAAAGTATTTGTTCCCTCTTAAATATTGACACTTTGACAGGAAAAAGTTCATTGCTTTGTGAAACATTGTCATGCATCATTTCCGTGACTTAAAGGTACAATGTAACAATTTGAAAACTATTTTGGAAGTTCTGGCATCTATATTTGCAGTTCATGGAAACCCTTTGTGTTCCACCTTAATTTTAGATTCAGTTGATCCTGAAACTGGCTGAGTTGATGCTATCAGAGCAAAGTTATAGTTGAAGACCTCTGTAGCTGTGTAGGGAAATGACTGATGGCATGTACAATGAAGGCCAGGCCAACAAGTTTAGACCATATCTACAACATGAGTAAAAAAAATGCCTTGAGTTAACACTGTAGTGTTGGTGTTTTTTTTTTAATTATTATTATCATTTATTAATGAATGAAAAAAGTCTTAACCTTTGCCTCCAATATCTTGTTGCACATCTTTTTCCAAGCATTCCACCTGTAAGACCATTTCACTTGTGATGCTTAAGTTTTAACACGTCTCCGAGGGCTTAAGAAGCTGCATGAACACTGTGCAACAGATGGGTAAAAAATGTGGACCGTCCTTATATTTCAATTGGAACAAATCAATCCTTATGCTCCTTTTCTTTAATTCTCATCAGATATTGTAGAACCTTTGAATTGCTCACAAGACCTCTTGCTTCTCATGCAGTGGGTTTTCTCTACTTGTGAACACTGAGGAATAAAGGGAGTAGTGTTGTTGCAGTGCTACATGGTAGATGAAGGCAAAGTGAAGTTGTGACCTCTACAGCCCTTTCCTCATCTGCCCCCAGCCCAGTAGTCTCACCTGCTCTTTGGATCAGGTGGTGGATACCAAATGCAATGAAAGGATATTTTTGCTGTTCTTCTGTTACTGCTTCACTCTTGGATGCAAAAAAACCCCCCAACATTAAAAATGTATATTATTGGCCACAAAACTTTTTTTTTTCTTTTATTCATTCAGAATTTCTCTGCAAATATTTTTATTTGTAGAACTGTGAACAGTTGAATAAGTGAAAATGTAGATTATCTTGCAAAAACAAAAATGAAATGAAGGAATTACTTTTAATGAAGTCACTAGTTTCGTAATTGTTATCCTGTAAAAATCTCTTAATGTCACTCAAGCATTTTTTTTTTCATTATTATTTGAAGGGGCAGTATTATGTATTTTCCAGGCACACAGTTTCATTTTATAGCATGTTTTTACTAGCATTTCACAGAGAAGTAGCTCTTATAATGAGCTTGGATGTGTCAGTTCTGCAATGTGGTTGCTAACTGCTTCTGGCTAGTTTGAAGGAGCTGAATGAGGGCATCTCAGGAGAGGGCTGCTCAGTGACGCTGAACTCTGAAGCTTGGAAACTGCGGCCTGAAGGAGGAGTTGCCTCTCGAAGGTGGAACTCAGTCCAACCAGGTGTTTTGAGCTGCTGAATTGTAGCCATGGAGATTAAATTATTTTTTTATTTTTCAAACATGAATGAAAGAATCAGGTCAACACTTCAGGAATGTTTTTGATTAGGAAATTCTTATTCAAAAAGATATTTTAAAAAGTAGACTTTACATAATACTGCCCCTTTAGGTTTATCAGGCTCTCTGGGAACTTCTAATTAGTAATCATTGACCTTCTGTCTTCTTGAACAAGAAATATGAGGCACAAGTCCGCTTTTACTCAGTGACCACTACTGAGGACCCTGAGGTCACTGTTCTTGGGACCCTAGCTGTGTATCCTCTGTCTTCACACTCTTTATCTCTTTCAGTAAATTTACTGCACAGAAAGGACTGAGTGAATGGAATTTCATGTTCCTTTTCTGCAGAAGAGATGTACAGTTAACGAATGAGAACAGCCTGAGTTCCCCTGGGACTATGTGGTTATTATAGTGCTATATGATGTTGAGTGAAAACAGGAAGAAGTTGGAATAGAGTCTAGAGAAATTGATGTACACTCTGGAGAAAGAGGTGTGACAGTTAGTAGAGGCAAGTCACATTGCTTGTGTGGATTAGAGGAAGATGTGTGGAACAGTGAAGCTGCAAAGGGCATAAGTCCAGAAAGTAAATGAGTTACTAGGTGTAAACAAATTTCCCACAGTCATTGAAGGCAGCACTGACAAGTATCGTAAGGTGCAGTGCAGGATGTGAACAGCAGTGCCACAAGTCTGCTGTCGTTGTCAGTCTAGGAGGAGAGACTTTAGGTCAGGGGTGCTCAAGTCCAGTCCTCGAGAGCTACCGTCCTGCAACTTTTAGTTGCAGCCTTACTCCAGTAGACCAGGCTCAGCTATGAACAGGCCTGGTAACGAGTCATTCATTTGATTCAGGTGTGTTGGAACAGGGATGCATCTGATAGTTGCAGGATGGTAGCTCTCGAGGACTGGACTTGAGCACCCCTGCTTTAGGTGGTAGATGGAAGCTGAATCATTTAGGAATAAAATCTGATAAATGTGGCAGCAGCTTTCTTCAAGAAGTCTCTTTGTTTCTATTGGCTGTATTATTTTACATCAGTGCACTTTGTGCCATTTCCAAGCTCAGGGCCTCCTCTGGACCCTAAGTGAAATTTGGTTTTGGGGCCCTCAGTTTCTGCAAAGAAAGTTGACTTGCTCCAGTCAACAGTCAGCTCATTGCATCACACACCTGCAATAAACGTATTGCATTTCTGACAGAGCTGTAAGCTCTGTCAGAAAGTTCTGCATTTCTGACAGAGCTTTCTGACAGCTCTGGTTATTTATATATCGGCACTGATATATAAATTTATCAGTGCCGATTTCCTCAATTTTGGGTGATTCATGATCGGCTGATAAGGTATAAAATATCAACCTCTGTTCATGTCTGCATGTTTGAAGTTAACAGTAGTAAACCCACTGTTAAAACTCACTGACTTTCCTTTCTTGCTACATTTATCAACATTTCAGACAAAAAAAATTGGTATCCAATATAAAAATCGGCAAGTCAGGCTTTTGAAAGATCAATAATTGCAATCGGCCACCTCAATCGCTGCAGCCCTAATTAAAATGGAACATACAAACATATTCATGACATTCTTTGATTAAACAAATTTCTCTTAGGTGAAATTACAATAACAAAGTATAATTTATGTCAGGTGAGAAACCCAGCAGTGTTTCTCACCTGAAGATGTGGACCGGTACCGGGCTAATTCTGAGCCTTCAAATGATTTTATTTGAAGAAGTTCCATATAACTTATAAGTTGATATAAAAAAAATGCTTGTTTTAGAATGATATATGCTCAGCAGCAAACAACATATCACCGACTACAGCTTCATGTAGTTCATTGATATATCAATGCTGTAGCCATGTAGCCTGATGTAAAAACATTTTACTACACAATGTAGTATTTGCATTTCTGACAGATTTTTAAAAAAGCTTTAAATAACTATTGTTATTAACCGTTGATCAAATATGCCGTTTTGACTCAGTTAAGACTCAGTTTCACACAACTACAAACATTGTAACATAAATATTTGGATCACATGAACACAATCAATGTTCATCATTGTGTGACGCGAAGAAGGGGGAGGTTCTTGGATTTCAGATATGGAGCGATTCTTCTTAAAACAGAACAAAAGTGAGAAAAATCAGAAAGAAACAGAGACTCCTCTGAGAGTTTAAATTAATGTTTATTATGGTGCAGCAGACCTGTGAACTTAACTTTTAAGTAACTATAACCGTACAAACCAAATCTCAAGGCATTTGTAAAAAAAAAAAAAAGAACACTGTCAGGTGTCCCAATAAAGCATTAGGGACTAAGAAAAAAGCTGTTTCAGCTAGCAAATGTGGTATAAAACTAATCTTGAAATTGTTGTGTGGCTCTTTACGGTGATTATAAACTTTATTTGGCTCTTAATGCTGAACTGGTTAACCATCCCTGTGCTACACAAATAAACTTGATTAGACTTGGTGGAGAGTTTGAAGGATTGGATGAGAGGGAGGCAGATGACCCGCTGTGGCGACCCCTGAAATAACCCATGCTTCCATTTTACATATAGTAAAGGTAAGGCAAAGGTCATTTTATAGCACATTTTCAGCAACATTGCAGTTCAAATTGTAGTACATACAATGGCCTCTGGATGTCGCTGTGTTGTGAAGAGAATGTGACAAACGAGCCACTAGGTGGAGCTACTCTCACTACTCTTGAGGTTATATATAGTTTGTTCACAGTTATTCGAAAACATTCTCGGGAACAGCTCAGTTATTGTTCACACCGAGTAAAAACTCTGTTTTGTCCAAATGAGAATCAGAAATAAAATTACTTTTTGGGTCCAGCGAGGCCAAACTAAAGTCTGTGTCTATCATTTCGTTCCTGTTTACAGGCGTTGATCAACTGACCTGTAGCGTGAGATCATGTGACACAGCACAGAGGCGTCGCTGAAAACATTCAGCGGTTCACCATATAGACACACCGCCTGGGACCCGTTTCACAATAAACAGAAAAGGCATCAACAGTTACTGTCTGAGCCGCTCGGGTTGTAAACGCTGCTTTTCTCAGATCGCAATGAAACGAGGGGAGCATGGGGGCTAAAGAGTCGAGGATAGGATTCCTGTCGTATGACGAAGCTGTCAAGAGAGGTAAGCCGAAAAGGCAGGACCCAATTCCACCTTAGCTGAGCTAGCTTAGCTGCCTGCGCTCAGGCTAACAGCTTTAATAGAGAGACACCAGGCCACCCGGTAAAATTTATCATCTTAAGATGACTGCTTTGATTTACTGTTTTGGAGCTGGACAAAGGTAAACTCGTAGCTTTTATTCTAACTGCTTGGTTATGGTATCCTATTCGGCTTGAATCAATTATATATACCTTATTAGATTTTTCTCATATGATGTGTTTATCAGTAGCTAAAGCTGTGTTTTCCGCAGTATTCTGCCCACGAAATGCTGTACGTTATGCTACAGTTGAAAGGGTTTAAACAGACCGCTTACGAATAAATTTCACTGAAATTCTATTTGCTAGACCTTTCTTCATCCTGAATAGATGTATTGTTGTTTCCGATAGCGCAGTGGGCATGGGGTGTCTTTTGCAGCGTGTGTGTTTACATATAAACAAGGTCAAGTTAATTGGTTGGTTGTTGGACAGTGTTTGGCGTGGCGTTGTTTCCATTAGAAGAAAAGCCTTGTTTGTACAGTAGGAGCTGAGCTAAGGAAGAGGGCTGGGTTGACAGCCAGTGTGAGCTTCAAGAGAGGGACGTGTAGCTCTGAAGGAACAGGGTTGTCTCACTGATTTAGTCCCTGCTGGGATACGTTAACCTCTTTACTACCGCTAGCCTGTATGTTTAATGTGAAAGCAGTTAGCTGACAGACATACAGCTACGTTGCAAGAGTGGGGAACACTTTCAGACTGTTTTGGCCTCCGTATGTAGCATTTGAAGCTGGCTATAGACACATGTGTTAGCCGTTTTAGAGCTTATACGTTTGATGTCTTTTCAGTTTGGGGTTAGGGTATGTTGGCGTATTAAACAAGCAAAAATCACATTTAGATATTTCTTGTAGAAAACGGGCATAAAAACACTGGCTAAATATTTCTTGTAGAGAGGTTGAATGCATGGCACTTGAAAGGTTATTTCTCCAAATATTCCATTTAGGCATTCTGCAGCAAGGGACACATTGAAATTGCAATGCACATTGGGCTATATATTGTGTATATGAAATGTATATTTCCATATTTAATTAGTTTTTTTGGTGGCGCTAGTTGCAGACAGGTGGACAAAGAAGGGAGAGGGAGAGACATGTTACAGAGCTTCTTAAAGATGAGGATTGAACCTCAGATAGTTGCAGTGAGGACTAATGTCCTCAATATATGTGGTGCCCACTCTTCCTCTGAACCACATTTGTTTTCAGCTTAATTTGGACAATACTGGATAACAGATTAGAGAACTTCTTGAGGCAGTTTTTGTACTGGATTTTGTTTAAGGGAATTGAATTAAAATACAATTATTTTGCCATTATATCACATGTTTCAGGTTTTTGTTTGTAAACAGTTTTGAAAACCATACATCACTTTTTGTTCTTAAATATTATGCAATTTCTCTTGGTCCACGTTGATATAAAACATGTCAAAATGTCTTGTTTAATGTTAGAACCTTGCTACTGTATGGAGTCCATGCAGAAGTATCATTGCTGCATTTATGTGTTCAGAACTGTGTCCTATATTTGAATATCCACCCTGTAAACCTCGGGAGAAAGGGAGTTCTGGGATTGATCTTATAGTTTACACCTTCTGTGAGCTGAACTGAGCTGAATTTACCTCCACCTTTCCAATAATCTTGTGTTCTTGCTTAGGGATGCCTTCATCTCAGTTATTTCTGCTCTGCATATCATCTACAACTGCACACAGGAAGACTCATGTTGTTCATCAAACATTCAAAATAAAATATCAGCCACCCTGTGGAAGGGTCCAGCCACCCAGCCCAGCCTTATCTGACCAGTCACATGGGAGCATTCCTAATTCACACAGCAGGCTTGGCTGCAGCAATGGCTGGTTCAGTTATCTCAAAGGTGCACTCTGTAGGCATAGCAGTGGTTTGTTTATCAAGAATCTTTTTGAAAATGTTGACTTTCCAAGATTATCTAGACCTAATTGATTCAAGTTGGTTACTGCAGAGCCGATTGCTGACTTTGTTGACGGGTTTTCCCGAGAGACCCTTAGGGAAAAAGGTTTTCAGAAGGAGTCAGAATGATGGTCCATCTTTCTTTGAGTGTTTTGGTCTCTTCTTTGTTCATGTAACAGGTAATTCTATGTATAAATTAGTTTTAAATTGCCAATCAGAGTACAGTATGCCTCCTACTGTAGTGTAACTTGTCACTGCAGTAGTTGAAAACAATGCATGCGCAATGTGTCAGTGGTGAAAGTCCACTTCCTTTTCCCAGAGTATTAGGTAACAGGGTGATAAAACATTCACTCCGATAGGGAAGAAACTTTCCTATTTGATTAGTAATATGCTAGTCTTACATACGTGACAAAGTTCATTTGGAAAAGAAGTTTAAAGGTCAAGGCTGCACATGTAACTAAGAGAGTATTCAAAGATCACTGCTCTGAGTTGATCACAATTATGTAATGATAGGCTACACACTATCAACTTCAGTGCATGAAGTCACAAGTTTATACTTTTTAATAAATATATTAAAAAGTATATAATTTTAATTTTTTTTTTTATGTTTACCTTTTTTGAAGACTTTATGGTTGGTGTTTAGGTATTGTTAATATCTTACAATAACACATAATTACCTAGTTATATTTTCAAATTTTGTGTCAACTTTAAACTCAAAAAACACAGTGAGCAGCTGAATTAAAAAAAAAAAATCAAAAATACTTTATTGATCCCAAAGAAAAACTAAATATGTTAACATTAGAATGAGTTCCCTAGTGTCCCTACAACCAGGCGTAGCAAGTATTCTGGGGCAAACTTTGAACCCCTTCCAGTATGTCAGCATGTGTCCTACAGTGACATTTATGATTGTGCTGGTTATTTTAAATCTAACCTATTTTAAACCTATTTAAAATAGCTCTCTAGAGAAAGAGCCAAAAAAACACACAAAGCTTTGCTGAAATGATTTTTGCATATGTGTTTAATGTAAAAAAAAAAAAGAGAGTTTAGTTTGTGGAACACCAAACTGACCTCACCTTGTCCATATGCAGGCTACAGTCAAGGAAAGCAGCAGGGAGAAGTTTGATTTGAAGGCATATTTGTCCTTTAAGAGAAATGGACGTCTCAATGTTCTGATGGGTTTTAGATAAATTCTTTTAAAAGCACCATCACATAATCAGCATGCAGTAAACAGTGTATGCTGCCTGAGCTGGAGCTAGTTACTAATCTCATTAACAAGATACAAAGTGTTGCAAGACGGTCACTGTTGTACTCCATGTACATATCTGTCAAACATAATGAGCACATGACTAATTAGCATAGCATTGGGATTGATTATTGAAACTTATTTCTAAACAACTGTAGCTTTGACTACATGCCTGTTATTATTTATGCACACTATTGCTTTTAACTAGCATGAATAAAGCGAGAATGACTCTGCAATGTGTGAATGTGAGCTTGATGACAGGTCCAACCCAGCATTTTAGAATGTCAGTTCTGCTAGTCAGTAATTTGTTGTTTGTGTAATTATGATTTAAAATATTTGACTTCAACATTGTTTCTGCAGCTTGTAAAATAGTTTCTGGAAAGCATAGCGACTTATATAAATTTGGTTATTTTTTTATTAAAATAACAAAGGAGACCTCTGGCATTTAGAGATGCAAAAAGAATACAGTTTGATTGTTTTTATATTTATTTATTTTAACAATTATTGTTATAATTTAAAAAAAAAGTTAAGTCAAGTCTTCTGAGTAAGTCAGTCTGCTCTGTTTTCTCTCTAGTTAATCAATAAAAGATCATAATCTGATGTCATTTAAGGTGTCATGATTAAAGAAATGAAAGCGTGAAGAGGAGCTGACAGAAAGTCGACATTTACTGACTTGTAGCAGAACCAGGAAGCTACAGTACATATCTCCATGTCAGGTAACAACCAGTTAATGGTTAAAAGAACCTGCTCTGAAGAGCCTCATGGAGAAGAAAACCTTCCTTCCTTTCAGCAGCAGCTGCTGACTGTAAACATGATAACAGTTAATTATGTTAAGAAGACAGAACCGTATGTCACTGTTAGAGGTGTTGACTCAACTTGTTAGCTTATTGCTATGATCTTGTTTAGGTAATGGGGTTTTGATCTGTTGCAACATGTAGAACGCATCCTTATTAATTTTAATTCTACATGTGTTGGAGTATGCAGATGTGAATCTCAGTCATTCTGGTTAAAAAAGTCCAACGATGATCAAGGAGAACGAAGCCAATGTGTGTTTGAATCTAGATTACAGTTTTTCCAGTAACACTTTGACGTAACATTCGATCCTTGGTGGTAGATAATCATGGGTGACGTAGCATTACTGTTACATTCTGTGAGAAATGTCAGTGAGCTTTTATTAGCCTACTTGATAAACCTCTGCTTTGCAATTTTACCTTGTGCTCTTTGGGTCGGGGATGTGGATTCGCCTGCTGTTGCTGCACATACTTTCAGTAGAGGTTTTGCCAGGGAACTTGGGCAGGCAGCTGTGTGGATTGTTTTGATTTGCAAGGCAAATTGTTATATCAGGTGGTATATTTTCAAACTGGCTACTGGAGTCAGAATATTCCAGGTAATGGAAAACTGACGTGATTCTGATGGAATCGCATGATTTTCACAGTATAATACCATCTATAAGGGTGCATAATTGAAATGACACCATAGATTATATTTTTTTAACAATCTTGAGTTATTTTAAGGTGAAATATTTTTTATTTTATAGTTATAGTATAAAACGATAGTTATCAGATAAAATGTATCAGAGTAAGGGATGTATTACTATATTTCATGCATTTACTCTTAAATTTAGAATAGAACGGTTCAACATATGGCATAAATATTTCTCAGAATGGCGCGAGCAAAATTATACGAACCAAAATAAGAATAGTAGAACTGAAAAAAAAAAACTTGAGCTAGTAAGGCCAAGTTGATTTTACTCCAAATAGTCAGTCGGCTTGCAGCACATGCA